TAAGATTAGTGAAAATTCTAAGCAATCTAAACCTATTAATAAATTTCCCCATTTACTTTAAGGGAAGATGATAGGGCCAGTGAGAGAGGGAAGAGAGTAGGAGAAGGAGGATAAGGAACAGGACAACTGGTAGTAAAATAGTGATAATTACTATTGCTAGCCTTTACTACTAACTTGCATGATAATTTGAATTCAAGTTAAAAGTCGTGAAATGTGTTCTCTAATTATTATACAAGGTAATTATTCCACAAATTGCCAAATTTCCATTAAATACTAAGGTCTGAGTACTTTAAAATAGTAAGACATTTGGCAAAATATTGGAAGCTTATAGAATGCATGTACCTGTCAGTTTCAAAATATACATATATGAAAAAATACAAACAAAAAATAAATCAAGATGGCATATTCGATATCTGTGGCAGATATTCATAAAATAAATACTGGAAGTAATTTACATATATTAAGTGGGAAATATAAGAAACAGAGCATAAGAACAGAAGTATAAGAACAAAGTAGAAAACAGTATAAGAAATATAAGAACAGAGTAGGAAACGTCTATTCTGTTCATACCATATTACCACAATAATTTTACCAAAAAGTAATTAATCAGCCATAATGTAAGTTTTGTTGGAAACTAAGGGGCAAAATGATGAAGAGAACAAGATCACAATTTTTTCTGTGATTTCAATTTATATACAATAAGACACACTGGAAGCTCTGACTCCAGAAGGGAAGGGGTGGGAAGGAAACACACGTAACCTAAACATTTGTATCCCCATAATATGCTGAAATTTAAAAAAATTTAAAAATGGGGAAAAAATTTTTTAAATGGTTAAACAATTAAAAAAAGATTAAAATTTCCTAAACATATATCACATAAATAAATTGAGCTATATAAACAGAATAAAAATCATAATGAAAGCACATAAACTTTTAATTAGCAATATCCATGGACAGAGAGTATGGATGAAACTCAATATCTTTTTATCAATTTTTTATAGTATTACACAATTTCTTACATTGATCTTGTATTATTTTTACAAAGGTGTCACAGAATGAGATCAGTAATAAATCTGCAAAGAGAGGTTGTATTACTTCATACTGAATGAATGAAGGTTTTTATAGGCAGTCAGCCAGTGAGACAAAACATTGAACACAAGTTACAAGAAATGTAACCTGACTCACACAGAATACCTGGAAGCCCCATGTATTACATAGAATACTATTAAAAGTACAGTGACTCTACTATTAAAATTGATGTCAGTGGTTCAAACTATTATTTTTGTAAACAGCTTTTTTAAATAGAGAGTTCACCACAAGGATTAACATACGAAAGTTTACCTGTGATGTAGAAAAATCTTGATCATTATTTTGCAGAAAGAAACAATGAATTTAATAGGAAAGGAACAACAACAAAAAGAGAATATGATTTGGATGTGATG